GTATTAACATCACAAACTTCTCTGCAAGGCACGATTGGGTTTGGATTCGCATCTAATAAACTCATAGCCTCACGGAAATAAAAATGCGAAAACAAATACAACTGAAAGGAGTTTTGTTAAACGGGATTGCCAAGAATAAAAACCTAACAATTTATATTGTTGCTTTCATCAGCAAGGACTTTAGTAGTTCTGCCAAAACCCATTTCAGAGTCACTAAACATTCCTACATCATAATTTTTAATATAAAGTCACACAAAGACCAGACTAGAGATACGTTGTCCTGCAAACCAAACAAGTCAAGTGTTAGTTCAACTTGTTGTAACAGGGTGAGTTAGGTAGATATTTTCGTTAGATATTTTGTAAACATGTGGAGTGTATATAACGTACTGTATCTCTGAGTTTTCAATCTAATGAAAATCATTCAGTTTCAATAACTTCTTCATGTGTAACATTAAGAGAGGTAGTTATAGCATGGCTAGTCTGCATATATCTATCAGGGATGAATTGATAGATTAAAAACTCAATATCCACAAATAACTTAGAGAGAATGATATATATACTCAAGGCAGCTCAAGTGGCAAATCAAGACAAATCCAAAATGGAGTGTGCTGTTAGATACCATCAAGTTCACAAAAATAGGATTCTTCTCCATATTAGTTCTAAGAATCAACCATTGCGGAGCCAAAAACGTCCATTAAACAATTCACCACCAATATCAACCTTCAATTATACATAATGTACACTAATAAACTTGTGTAATACACAAAACTGGATCAAGTAATTTATAGTTTCCAAATTACAAATACCATAATGAAAGCAAAAACCACAATAGTTAATTTTTACAAAAATCTAATAAATGACCGCTTGCATCACTAATACTAAAATTCCATAAATGGTAATAAAGTTAAACAATTGATTCCATAAATCATAAATGCATAATATTTTCCATCACTAAAATTTTGAACAAATTTAATTCAGATATATCCTTTGAACATAAGGTTTGTCTAGTTAATTAAGTTGAAGAAAACAACACCCACTGTGTTTGTTGACAATTCCTTTTTAGTGGGATTTGGTGATAGCCCCCTCACTATCTAATTTGTCTTTCAAAAGGACAAGAATTATATAAGTACTTTCAAAACCCCCTAATATTTTAAAACTTGTTTCTTTTACTATATTACCCTCATATCTATCAGCTCTCCTATTAAGCCATATTTACTATGTATTTCAGAAGAAAATTTTACTCTGTATAAAAGTAAAATTTTACTCTGAATAAGAGTAAAATGTTACACTCTGAAACTAAAAGTAAAATTTTACTCTATATAAAAGTAAAATTTTACTCTGAAAAACTAGTAAAATGTTAGACTTTACTCAAAAGTAAAATTTTACTTTGAAAAACGAGTAAACTGTGAGACTCTGAAGCTAAAAGTAAAATTTTACTCTATATAAAAGTAAAATTTTACTCTGAAAAACTAGTAAAATGTTAGACTCTACACAAAAGTAAAATTTTACTCTGTATAAAAGTAAAATTTTGCTCTGGTTCTGTCAAATGAAAAAAACAGAGTAATAAAACCAGAGTAAAATTTTACTCTGGTTCTGTCAAATGAAATTAGATAAAAAAACAACAAAAATAAATCTAAAAAAAAAAAACATAAACAAAAACAAAAACAAAACAAATTAATCAACAAATCAACATATCTAATTGAGAAGAAAAACTTCTAAAACTCGATCAACAATCACAAATCTCAATGAAAAGAATACATGTGTTCAACAACACTCATACACACAAATATATGTATATATATATATATATACATATATTCAAAACTCAAATCTGTGTTTAAAAAAATATGTATAACCAAACAACTCCACCAAACATGCCTTTGTCGCCTCCTAGAAGGGAGAGGGGAACCGGAGCTTTCAAATCTGTGTTTCAGCGATCAATTCATTACTCTTCAGAGTAACAACAATCAATTCAGAGACGATCTGTTTCTCCTCGTAGACGATCTCCTTCGATTCCGACACCGGAGGACAATTTTCCGGCCCGTAGTTGATTTCGTTCCCGATGTTCTTGATGAGTTCATCGTAGAGATCGGTTTCGGCATTGTTGATCGTCGGGGTTTTGCCTGATAACTGACCGGACTTGGCTAGGAGAGTGATGACGATGACATTGCTGATTATGAAGATGAAGAGAGGACTAAGCCACCGCCGGCGACGGCTTGTCGACGACCTTCTGCTGAAGCTTAGAAGACGCGACTATGGTGATTATGATACAGTTGATGACGAAGCTGATTATATATGCAGACTTTATAATAATTGAATTAGTTGAGGGTATAATAGTCATATAAAATATTTAAATAATAAATTTTGTCCGTTATGCAAGACTTTATAATTATGAGGGGGTTTAGGAAGTATAATTTTTTTCTTAGTCCTTTTAACAATGAAAGGAAGGTAAAGGGGGTTTATAGCTAAATTTCCCTCCTTTTTAATGCCACAAGTTCCCCTCTCTTTTTTTTCCCTTTTTTTTAAATGTAAGCTCAAATCCTCTCCTAAACTATCACATAATGCCGTAATGATCTCCTTGGATATTAGGATAATAGTGATGTATAAGGTAGGTAACAGGTGAACATCTACAAAAGAATTCAAAGAAAGAAGAAAATGAAAAAGAATAACTAAAATATTCGAAGGAAAAATGGGGTAACATGATTATATTTTAATCTCTATGCTTTATGAAATTAGTTCATATTTTTTAGTGTACAAAATTGACCTCATTTTAAATAAAATTTTCAAAAAGTCTGAATAATAATTTCAGATTTACAAATTTCCAATAAGGTCACTTGACCCAACTTTGTTATACATGGTTCTACCCCTAAGAATCAAGGCAATACACCAACAGCTACTAAAAGAATACAAAAGGGACAAATTTCCCAAACTAAAGACAGACAATAGCAAACCATTCCTCCAATTCTAATAAGTTAACATAGTGCACATAGAAGACACGAGGGCTGTTGCATATGCAGTTACACCCAATTTTAATAGGTACCATACGCCATTTGTTTGGAACCAAATAACATGAAAAACGTAGACAACACATGAATGAAAAACTTTTTGACATGGATTTATCTTTAACATATATGAGGAAAAAAAAAATTCATTTGGTTCCGTTGAAATGGCCGAAATGTTTCCATTTCCCAAGAGACCAAAACGAAACACTAATGGAATAATAAAATTCTAGTGTTTTCATTGAAACACATCAAAACATAGTGAAACACACCGAAACATAGTGTGATATACAAAAAGAGTAAATTGTATCAATATTGGAACTTTTAGTCCTTATTGGAAACTTTTTGACATGGATTTATTACTGCTGCTTAAGTAAACTTTTAGTCCTTATTGGAAACTTTTGTTTAATAAAATTGAGTTATTTAACAATACTTAATAATTTTTAGTTCATAGTAACCTTAGTTTTTTAATTCTTTTACGTGAATGACTATTTGAATCTCAATTTGTTTAATTAATCAATTATTAGGCTTTTGTACATTTAGATATATTTCAATTTATATTTTCAAACATTTCTATTTTATCTTCATTTCATAAAATATTTCTGAGATGTTTTTGTTTATGTACTATTTGAAACAACACACCGAAACGAAATTTTGATCTTCGTATATATATATTATTATTTGAAATCCCAAGACCTGGAATCATTAATTTGCTGATTCTTTGAGCACAGATGCGAAAAAAAAAGGGCAGACTTTCACACACAAATGCAGTAGACATAACATCACACAAATTCAATTACAATATTTTTACGGTGTGTCAAACATTCACTAGTTCTGAATTGCTCAGGGAGATTAAGCATATGAAATACAAAATATGTTAATAACATACAAAAAATTAACAAATTGTATGTAATGTGCCATTAAAAACTTTGATGTATAAGAATATACTTAATATTAAAATATCAACTAAAGCCAACAAGGCAGCAAAGATTAATCAAATAATGTCGATTCACCCTCTAAGCAAAATGGGTAGCATCATTTTCCTACTAATTTTCAAAGGGTAAAACAATAGGAAGATGCTCGACCTGTACAATTTAATAAATGACTGCATTCAACTTTTTACGACATACAAGTTATCCAGTAACCAAAATTTAAATTATAATTTAGTCAAGGACACATCATATAAATGCATGTACATTTAAGCTGATGAATAATCAGTATTGATGATCTGCGAGAGTGAGTTAGTTATCAAAAGAAAAATAGCAAATTGGGGCATCACTATAACAACCTATATATATGAATTGTCACCTCATACAACATACTACCCAAAAATTTTACAAACAAAAATACTGGGGAAAGCCAAACTCACTACATTTTCACTATATGCAACTATAGATAAATAAAAAATCACTCAGCATACCTCCATGAAATTGTGAAACTATGAACATTCTAAGCATGAGCTTTCCCAAAGCTATATTTCCCCTAAACAAAATGAAAGGCCATATGATGCAAGTTAGGTAAACATATTACAAAAGACAACACCAAAATGGTTTCAACTCAAGAAAATTCTTACCAGGATTGGTCAAAGTGTACATGGGGATAGCGAACAATCACTAGATACTAGATAGACAGGATATCAAATGCACCAAGTTGGAAAGAAATGTGAACTCTTCCATTTGTTGTGGTTGCCTCATAAATAAAAGCAGACAAGGAAATCTATCGAAAGAAGGTTTTCTTTGCAGATGCTTGAAAGTACATTTCTGTATCAAATAATCCCTTATAAATTGATAACACTTAATACTCTGAATTCTTTTCATACAAAAAATGTAACAACTCCAGGTATATAATTAAAATTGCTTTTAGTCTCCATATTTATTAAACAACTCACAAAAATGAAATTTGGACACCTGATATGCCACCTCATACAACATACTACCCAAAAATTTTACAAACAAAAATACAGGGGAAAGCCAAGCTCACTACATTTTCACTATATGCAACTATAGATAAATAAAAAATCACTCAACATACCTCCATGAAATTGTGAAACTATGAACATTCTAAGCATGAGCTTTCCCAAAGCTATATTTCCCCTAAACAAAATGAAAGGCCATATGATGCAAGTTAGGTAAACATATTACAAAAGACAACACCAAAATGGTTTCAACTCAAGAAAATTCTTACCAGGATTGGTCAAAGTGTACATGGGGATAGCGAACAATCACTAGATAGACAGGATATCCAGGGACAAATGCACCAAGTTGGAAAGGAATGTGAACTCTTCCATTTGTTGTGGTTGCCTCATAAATAAAAGCAGACAAGGAAATCTATCGGAAGAAGCCTTTCTTTGTATTCAGATTCTTGAAAGCACATTTCTGTATCAAATAATCCCTCATAGATTGATAAAACTTAATACTCTAAATTTTTTTCATACAAAAATTGTAACAACTCCAGATATACAATTAAAATTGCTTTCAGTTTCCATATTTATTAAACAACTCACAAAAATGAAATTTGGACACCTGATATGCGTATTTTTGTTGTAACTTTTTAAGTTAGCTCTTACAACAGCAAAAAAAATTTTTTATTTTTCTAAGCATCTGCAAACTACTTGCATCACAACATTTCATTGTCTTTCTTTCTTTCTTTCTTTCTTTCTTTTCTTCTTTTTTTTTTTTTTAACATTACCCTCATCTGACCGGCCAAAAAATTCTCCCTTCAACAAGAATTTGTACCAGCTTAATCACTTTCAATTTGACTTTTCCCAGTCACTATATAGGAAACAACTTAACAAATAGAAAAATATTTTATTAATGACTAGCCTAGAAAACCCAAAAAACTAAGGTTTGGTTTTCAAAATCAATTTTGAAAGATAATTTTCTAAAAATTTGTTTGGCTGTATATGCTAAAAATAGTTTTCAGAAATTTAAAAATCCAAAACTTATTTAGTTTTTAGAATCTGAAATAATTTTTAAAACTCTGTTTGGTTTTGGAATTTACAAAAATAATTTGTAAGTTTCAATCCGTATTTTATTGTTTTTAGTGAACTTTTTAAGTATTTAATCAATGTTTTTCAAGTTTTTAGATCCACTCACCTAAAACGTATAAAATTAATGAAATTTTTTTTAAAAAAAATCACTAAATATTAACAAATATGCAAATTTAATACATTTTCGTATGTATTCTGTATTTATTAAATTTTTTAAAGATTTTTTAATTTTTTAAAAAAATTTAAGTACATGTAGATTAGATGCATCTAAAAAATAAAACAAATTAGCCAATATATTAAAAAAATACGAATTAAAAATTTAAAAACTTTTTTTTGAAAACTCCAAAACCAAACAAAATTTTAAAAATTGTTTACTCATTCCATAATGGTCCTCCAAATTTAAATTTAACATATTTTTTATTAATTGAAAATACAAATCCATTTTATTTTAAATTTTTATATGAATTTGCAAATAACTTGCTCATCCAAAAAAATTCGATTAACTTGAAAATATGATGTACTGCATACTTCAACGATCCCTCATTCAAAAAAAAATTGAAAATCAATAAGCAAAAAGACATTAAAAATTAGCAATGCTGGAAATCTTTACTATCAATTAGATTGTTTGATTAAGTTTTTCAAAATCTGTAAAAGTTAAAAAAATAAAAATGAAAAACACTTGGGTGTGTTTGGTAACGTTTACGTTTTCAGTTTATATTTACAAAAATTTTATAAACTGGTTTTTGTTTATTTTTTGTTTATTTTTAGAAAAACATAAACTACAAACGCGTTTGGTAATTGACAAAATGTTTAAAAAAAATTTAAAATATAAAAAAGAGTGAGAAATGGCAAGTGGGTGGCAAGTGGCGGCAAGTGGCTGCGGAAGACGGGGGTGGAAAGTGGTGACGGTGGGTGGTGGGTAGCTGGTGGCCGGTGGTAGCGAGTAGGTGGTGGCGGCGGATGGTGGATGGTAGTGGCTTATCTTCGACTTGTACATTGCTACAAATTTCAACAAGTGAAGATAAGGAATCAGCTTAATTCCAACTTGTAAATTGCTACAAATTTCAACAAACGTTAAGCTTTACTTTAGTTTAACTTCAACTTGTAAACT